CTAATTGCAAAATGTTTAAGCGACAGAAATTCGATGCTGACGAGCAGATTGACGATGGACGAACGGTGCAGGCACGACTCGTCTCAGACACTGGCGAGGAAGCTGGGCCACCAATTGATTTACCAGTGTCGGTAACCGTAGAACAACTTGGTCTCATCTGTAATGCTTTATTGAAAAACGAGGAACCCACTCCGTATCTATTCTTCGTGGACGACGAAGAAATCAAGAAAACTCTCAACAATACCCTCGATTTAAATACAGTAGATACCGAAAATGTGATACAAATTGTTTATCAGCCACAGGCAGTATTCAAAGTACGTCCCGTCACACGTTGTACAAGCTCTATGCCTGGTCATGCGGAAGCTGTAATTTCCATTAGCTTTAGTCCGGATGGGGAAAATTTAGCTAGTGGTTCGGGTGACACAACAGTTCGTTTATGGGACTTGACGACCGAAACCCCACATTACACATGCACTGGACATAAACAATGGGTGATGTGTGTTGCGTGGTCGCCTGACGGCAAGAAATTGGCGAGTGCTTGTAAAGCTGGTAATATTATTATATGGGATCCTTCTAATGGTAAGCAAGTTGGACGCACGTTAACCGGTCATAACAAATGGATAAACTGTTTGAGCTGGGAACCTTATCATCAGAACCCAGATTGTCGCCGACTAGCCAGCGCCGGTACCGATGGAGATTGCCGTATATGGGATACCGTGTTAGGACAATGTGTACTCAATATAGCTGGCCATTCGAGTTCGGTAACTGCTGTGCGCTGGGGAGGCTCTGGACTTATTTACACTTCATCGAAAGATCGCACCGTAAAGATGTGGCGGGCTGACGACGGTGTGCTTTGTCGCACATTTTCTGGGCATGCCCACTGGGTGAACAACATAGCCCTTAATACGGATTACGTGTTGCGAACAGGGCCTTTCCATCCGGTAACTGATCGTAAGAAGAAATATTCCGAAGTTTCAAGTAAGGAAATGGTATAGGTTTTTTTTTTTTGTACATCTAAATACATATTTTCAAAAACTTCGTATAATTTTAGAAGACGAATTAAAAGAAATGGCCTTACAAAGGTATAAAAAAGTATGTCCGGATGGTGTGGAATCCTTGGTTTCATGTTCAGATGATTTTACACTGTACCTGTGGCACTCTAACCAAAATAAATGCATACAACGCATGACGGGACATCAAAATGTTGTGAATGATGTGAAGTACTCGCCTGATGTTAAACTCATTGCATCGGCATCTTTCGACAAATCTGTACGTTTATGGCGCGCACAAGATGGTCAATTTATAGCGACGTTCCGAGGACATGTTCAAGCTGCTTATACGTTAGCTTGGTCTGCAGATTCGCGTTTGCTAGTTAGTGGTAGCAAAGATTCTACGCTAAAAGTCTGGAGTGTCCAAACAAAAAAATTAGCGCAGGAGTTGCCCGGTCATGCAGATGAAGTTTACGCTGTAGATTGGGCACCAGATGGAACAAGGGTGGCATCTGGGGGCAAGGACAAAGTGCTTAAATTGTAAGTTTAGTTAAAAACATACAATCAGAGACAATATGCACCACTACCGTGAACTAACTCTATTCTCCCCATTTACAGGTGGGCTTACTAGAAACGAGTAGAGGGGAATATACTATGTTGCCTTTTTAAACCAATCAGTGGAAGAGAAGAACGCGCATCAAATTTGTAAAAATTCCCTCTAAAACAGTGTCGATGCCAAAACTAGACTAGATACGCCACGGGAAATTGCAAAGCGGAGAATATTATTGAATAATAAAGAACTTCAAACAAATTACAAAAAATATGTAGTCACTTTTTACTCTGCTTAATGTGTACAGTAAAGTTAAAGGCACTATTAACATTGTTTTGAATGTATAAACCGTTGCGAACGCAGCATAAACTCAAACCTATAAAAAATATCTTTTTATGTCCTTCATAACGCCCTGCAAGCTTTTAGTTTCTTCTACATTATCATTGAAGAATTGTCCGGGAACCGCAGAACGGGATTGCAAAGCTCGCTCGGCCGCCAGAAAACCTAGCGCAATACATCTTTCTACATCATAGCCTCGTAATAGTGCTGTTATATATCCACTAGTAAAACTGTCACCGGCCCCTGAGACATTTTTGATCTTCTCTACTGTCGGTGCAGCATAGTAGCGAGCCGAGTGAACATTTTTTGTACTGTCTCCCGCTGGCAAGTAAGAGCCATTGTTTGGATCAAACAGGGGCTTACCGGATGCCGCTGTCTCCCCTTCCAAATTTAGCACTACGCCATGCTGTCCCAGCGTAAGGACAATGCAATCAAAATAACCTTCTACTAAGGACAATAAAATTTTCACTTCTTTCAACAGTGAGTCAATTGAGTCTATCTTTCTATCTTCATTAGATACGCAAGTTCCAGTAATGGTTTCTACAATCGTACGCAATTCGTAAATATTTGGTGATATGAATTTAATTTGTTTCGTAAGTGATCTAGCCAGGGTAAATGGCTTATGAGCAATTCGCATATCAGTAGGCTCAAAAAATACTGGCCGTTGATGTTTCTGAGCCAGTTCTAGAACACATTCCATGGTTTCCATTGAAAGATTACTATCAATTACAACAATCGGAGTTGAGCGAAAAAGCTTTTCTTGACCTTTTATCATATCGGGCGTTATATTTTGATGGATCTCCATGTTAGCCAACATAATTTTGGAGTCCCCGTTCTTATCAAAGATCAGAGTCCCAAGAGAAGTACCATTTTGTTCATCTACTCTCACTAATGGTCGCAGTTGAGGTGGAATCATTTTCAGTAAGCTGCGACCGAGTTGATCATTACCTACTATGGAAATAAAGTTTGTTGCACCGTACAGTTTGAAGATGCACTCTGCTATGTTGCGACCGACTCCACCTGCAGACATTGTTGGCTTTGCCCGATATGTAGCACCGTCGAGAACCTTTGGCATATCGTCGACCACTGTTAGGGAAAGATCTAAAATTGAGGCCCCAATCACAAGAGGTGCTATTGTTGCACAATTATCAGGTTCACGCCCTATTGTAAAGCTACTATCTTTTTTATATAGTTCTTGAGCGATTTTCGCAGCCGTCTTGGCGTTGTTTTTTATCAAAGCTATATTTGCATATAGACTGCTACCCTTCGTAATTTTAGCAATTGCCTCAAGTAAGTAAGGCGTAACTTGTTTACCACTAATGCCTTGACTGTCTGCCTCACCAATGGCTTTTTGGATGGCCGCTTCAATTATATTTTTATTCGCTGCATACTGCTCCGGTATGGGCACACCTATCAACACGCCCGAGCCGACCTTTAACTCCCTCATACTTTTAATTAAATTTGCCGCTTCTTTTGGGTCACGCAGATTGTACGGTGCTTTAAACCCACTATCGCGAGTGTAAAAATCTGGGAAACTGCAATCTTCCACACCATATGTCGCAACGCATACTCCTTGTGTTTCCAAATACTCAAGTGTACGGGGTATATCTAAAATAGACTTAATGCCACTCGAGACTACTGTCACTGGTGTCCGTCCTAATTCTATAAGATCTGCCGATATATCAAATGTTACATGACCGTCTCGATGCACTCCGCCTATTCCGCCAGTAGCAAATATCTCTATTCCCATCATGTGTGCAATGATCATGGTAGCTGCTACAGTAGTACCACCATTTCCTTTCTTGGCAATCAAATAAGGTAGATCGCGTCTTGAACATTTGACAACTTCGCTATGAGAATTGGATGCCAATTGTCTCATTTCTTCGCGTGTGAGACCTACCTTAATACGGCCGTTTATAATTGCAATTGTTGCTGCTAACGCTCCATTTTGGGAAACTATTTGTTCCACCGCTACCGATGTATCAATATTCTGTGGATACGGCATACCATGTGTGATGATGGTTGATTCTAAAGCCACTACTGGTTCGCCCTGTTGAAGTGATTGTTGAACTGCAGGATGAATATCAATAAGACTTTTAAAAGCACGAAATTGAGACGGCACCGTCCTTTTAAGCGACGCTCGTAACACCGGAGAAGCAACACCCCACACCATTCTTGGAAGGTATAAATAAATTGTTAACCTCGCTCCACTAATTATTTATGTGCTCTGGAATGAATGTAAAAATTAACACACATGCATATATAAGTTCATCCATAATGCATACAGACATGTTCTATAGTTTTGTGATAGTTAACATTTTTTAATAATTTTCCACTATAATCAGAATCAGTTCCTCTGCATTTTGTTATCTCCAAGCTGTTTTTCAAATTTCCTCGTAATCGATTTTAGCATCGATAATAATTTTTAAACTGGTATTAGGTCTGCTCATTGAGTTGACTGCGTGTGTCATCTGCCATCTCTAAAGACTCTAGGGGTCTTCACTTACACTCGTAGAAGCCTCGTATACCTCGTAAAGCCCGCAAATTTACGAGCCTCGTAAAAGAACTTTCAAAATTTGTATGGAGCTATATTTACGAGCCCCTCGTAAAATTACGAGGCAAAAAGGAAACAAAAAAGGCGCGGTGTTTGAGTGCGATTGAATGTTGTTGTTGTTGTTGTAACGGTTACAATAACCCCGCCCAGATCGGTTGATATCTCAGTCGTTGGTATCAAGTTCCACTAACGGCAGCCCTAAGAAGCGTGCAGCGTCCACTGGGTCGGGCCACAGGGACAAAGTCGTTAGGGTTGTCGGGTTTTCCGGGCATGCGAAGAGATGTTTCGGGTCGTGAGGGGTCTCTCTGCATGCCGGACACTCTTTTGGCACATTCGCATTTAGTCTGCTCAGGTATGAGTTTAACCTGCTGCAGTAGCCAGGGCGAAGTTGGGCTATTGTGGTTCTTGCCCAACTTCCTTATTTTATCATACATTTTAGTATAAAAATTTTGGTCCCTCGGCACACTGAAGTTTGCGAGGTCGTTTGCGCATCAAATTTGCCTCGTAAATTTACGAGGGACTCGTAAATAGAGCTCCATACAAATTTTGACAGTTCTTTTACCAGGCTCGTAAATTTACGAGCTTTACGAGGCATTTACGAGTTTAAGGGAAGACCCGTATTGATGAAATTGACATCGATGTATCGTTAATTTAGCAGAGTTATAAATTATTAAATATCGATGGTAAACATCAAATCCCAGACCGATATTAGGTGCGTTCGTTTAAAATCTCCAACAGAAACCAACCAACTGCCAAATTCCGGCGAAATGTCATCTGTTCGCTCACAAGAGAGAAATATCCAAAATAGTACGCGAACAGGAAATTTGCAGAAACTTGCAAGTTAGACGAACAGCTGATATAATTTTTGTTTACATACAAAAGTGTAAAATTTAAAACGTACGAAAAGTCATCGCAAAGTGTTATACTGACACAGTTTATTGATTAAACAAATAACTACTTATTTCTTACAAGTTTAATTAGTCGCATTTTGTAATTTTTATCTTCCAAACCATCAAATTAAATTTTGTGATTTGCGTAAATGCCAACCAGATGTTTTTGATCAGCTGTTTCCCTGTTGGCAAATTGCTGCTGGCAAAAATTTTTCCAACAGAAACTAACAGCTTCCCCTCAAAACGAAATGTCACTTTGCTCTCTCAATTTCCCCTACTTTGCAAGTTTTTTGCGTACGCGAACGCAAAAACCTGTAAGTTTTGGTTAAACATGAACAATTAACAGCTACGCGAACGAACCTATTATTGTTTCAAAAACATCGATGTTTCGTTTGCACCCACCTCTATAAATAAAATAAACAAGATTCTGACAACATGCCTCTCAAGTTATCTGATCCTGTTGTGAAGGGACTCCAGCATTTAGGCACCGAAATAAATTTGGACATCGCGAAAAAACTTATAGGAAACACACTCAAGCATATACTTTCTTCCGAATCAAGTAAGTACTTTTTTTACACAAGCAATCCCCCAGATGGCGAAATTGATAAATGCCTCCTCTGCGCAAGGTGTTCCATCTGTTCCGGATATTTATGCCACAAACGCTGATAAAGTAAAACTTAGTGAATATGCCGTAGTCACAATATTATCTTTGGCCATAAAGCATAGTTGTGATCCTTCAGAGTTTCGTGCCATTATGGATAAATACGATATTCAGCCTATTGTCTTGGAGGAACTAGCGCGCATATATGAAGAACATCGAAGGGAGTTAACTTTGCATCAATTGCATATAGGAAGTGATTTTCCGCACATAACAGATGTACAATGGCGAATAATGGCAGATGTTCGTTCATCGACTTCCGATTGCAGCTCTGGAGAAGTAAGCTTTCATGTAAATCTTGGGAGGTTTCATGAAACGACCGGGGATCGAGAGACTGTTGTTGAGTTTGTTTGTAGCACTGAAGAAATGCAATCTCTCATTAATAAGCTGAAAGAAATTGAACGGCACTGTGAAAAAGTAGCTTCCGAGTAAACGCGTGATACTTGTGGTTATTGCCGAACCCTACAAAGTCCCTATTTTTCGTACAGCCTATGCAAAAAGTTATCAAGAATTTGAATAGGTACGAATGTTTTTGTTATTTATGGCATTATAACAATTATATTCAACAATTTTACTGAGCTTGAGGCCGTTTTTAATGAAAAACTATTTTGGAAACAATAAAAACACTTCTACCATTTTTATAAATTATTGTGTTTCCACAATAGTTTTTCATAAAAAATGGCCTCAATAAAATTGTTGAATAAAAACATTATAAGGTAAAATCAGTCTCAGTATTTTATCATGGCCCCCCTATTTGAGGATAATTATCTCACCAATCAAAAAAAAATTAAATACGAATGGCTAATATGTTATTATAGGCAAATAAAAGTAGGTGTAAAAAGTCGAAACCCTGCCATTATAAGCAGCTCGAAAGTAGGGGTCTGAAACTAAAACATTTGTTTATTCATTAAATGAAGCTACATACATATGTAATAACAATTTTGAATTTACAGTTCTTTGGGGCACTGCCACCCTGCTAGACTTGTTCGTCAATAAGTGATTTAATTTGTAAGTAGTCACAAGGAGCGTTAGTGTAAATTACCCCGGAAAACGTAGAATCACCATCTTCTGTACTGATCACTGTGCAGTCGTTCTTCTTAATAAGCTTCATATTAATTCCTCGGAAGCGGTCGTCTACTTTATAGAGATTTTTACCGTTTGCCCAAGAGTAAAATGGTTTTCCGCTGAATGGATTCATAAAGTCAGCCCAATATCCATGCAAACGGAGCCGTGAGGTAATCTCGCGAGCAGCCAATACAAACTAAATCATCTTAAAGTTAAAAACGCTGATTTAATTTTTTAATTTATTTTTTTCTTACCTTCCATGCTCCTTGTTCGTTATCACCAGAAAAGCGTAAAGTCATTAGAGCCAATTTATCACTAGACACTACTTCGGGGGCAGGAAAAAGTTCATGTAATGATTTTCTTATTAGTGATGGGCATTCACCAACAGTAAATTCGAGCATGGTATCTTGCATTGCCACCTGAAAGTTATATTTTAAACGCTTATTCATGCGCGTATCCTGTTGTTATATTCAACATTACCTTCCCGTCAAAATTAACTAGTGATTCTAAGGGTGCCTCTAAGTTGATGGTAGTAGAAGCGCCTTGCCATGCTGGACCAACCGCGTTTGGAAAATAAAAGCGATTTCCTCGGGGAGCTAGCAATTCCCAATTCGGTCCACATTCGCCACCAAGAAAGTCGGTATCATCTGAAAATTTTTTACAAGTTTAAAGCAAACTAACATATCGACATTTTTGTGTTTACCTTCGACGCGTGCCTTAGATTTTACCACCTTGAAAACACTTTCAAGGTTCTTCGGGTCGCTGCGTCGAGAATAGTGTGCCGTGCTTGCTACACCTAGGATCGGAGACGATGATGTCGCTGGCAGTGATCGTTTGGTAGCATTATTGGTGGCATTTATTACTCCTCCCCGGTTAAGGCATCGCAAAAGCGAAAAAGACATTACACTGATGTTTTGGCCGAAAAATCTTGTAGAGGTTGGTTTCTTCTAAATCATCTAAAGTACTTTTATTATTTAACTTCCTCCAGAATGACGTTTCAATATTCGAACGATTGTAGGTACCGAATAAGTGACTTGCTAGGTGTATTATTTGACAAGCCTGAACAATAGTCTCCAAAATATGGATGCAATTTCAAGCTTTGAATGTATTATTGGCTCCAACAGACGAGCAGGATTTTACTGAAGACTTCAGATAAAAACACAATTTAATTTCGTACTTTTTACTTTTGCGAGCTTTTTTCTGTCAAATCAAATTTTCCTGATCAGCTGTGAAACGGGTTGCTGATTCTATTTAAATAATTTATCAAAAATGCCAAAACAGTAGGATCAAAGAACGTAAATTTAAGGCCATGAGAGCAGAAGTGGCCTAACCCAAATTTTTGTTTCCCTTTATTTAGGGCCGATTTCATAATAAAATTAAATAATATTTTAAAAGTTAAAGGACGCTTTTGCTGATCGATTTCATAAAGCCACTTTATAGATAAAGGTGCCCATAGAGGCTCTTAACTAAATACCCAAAATGGCAATTTAAATGACATAAAGGTCCCTTATGTAAGAAAAACAATCATGTTATTTTCGTAGTTATAATTACATATTTATGACAGTCAGCTGATGCAATTTTTCCGAGATCTTGGAGGTTTGCCATTGCTTGTCAAGGGGCGGCCGCTATTAAAAAAACCCTTTTTTCTATATTTTTTTGTGGTGTTGCTTTGACCAGGGATTGAACCCAGGTCCTGTGAAGTGGTAGCGCGCACTGTTAACCATTATACCACGGCGGCCGCCTTGCATTTATTTAGTAATAATTTGATTTGCAACGCTTTTTACAACTACATTTTTTGAGCTATCTTCATACAACAACTTTCACACAAAGGCTATACATATTCTTTTCAATGAGTACATTTATTTTCCTTTTGACTTGGAAATTACTTGCGTTTCCATGTCTGACGCGGCTTTATGTTCACTGCTGATTTGGCCAGAGAACGTAAAAAACCTACGTTCTTATTTGACACTTGATTTCACGTGTATTGCAAAACATAAACAATGCGGGTTTTACTTTAACCAATTCACTTATAATTAAAAAGGTGTTTCAGTTGAAAATATTAAAAACATGTCACGAATAATTGTAAAGCAACTACCAAAGAATGTAAGTAAATAATAGAATCCCCAACTACTTTATTAAATAACATTATTAAACAACATTAGGTCAGCGAGGAAAAGCTCCGCAGCCTTTTCGGAACGAAAGGCACCATCACTGACATGCAGCTGAAATACACTCCAGATGGAAAATTTCGTCAGTTCTGCTTCATTGGGTATCGTACTGAAGAAGAAGCGCATGAAGCAATCAAGTATTTTAATAACACTTGTATACAAACAAGTCGCATTAGAGTTGAAGCGTGCGCCGCGCTTGGCAGTGAGGATAAACCACAACCACGCAGCAAAAGTGCCCGAAAGGCTGAGGCTGATGTCATTCAAAAGGTATCACAGAAAGAGAAAGATGAAAACAAAACCAAGAAGAAAAGTTCGAATTTGGAAGATATTATCAGCAAACATAAAGATGATCCAGATTTTCAAGAGTTCATGAAAGCTCATGATAAGAAGCGTGCTTTATGGGCAAATGATGCTGGTGATGTTTTAACACCTTCTGAGGAAGTTGAAGAAAATGTCGAAGAGGAAGTAGATATTAAATCCACAGACAATGAAAATATCGATGAGGATGAAAAGTTTGACGATGATGATAACGAAAATAAGGAAAAGTTGGCGGAAATGCCAATTAGTGATCTGGATTACATGAAAAATCTTATGGCCAAAGCAACATCGACATCGGAAAGCAAAAAAAGTAAAACAAAAGCAGCACTTGATCTGTACACAATAAAAATGCATAATGTGCCATACAAGACTAAACGACAGGAGATTTTGAAATTCTTTAAACCGCAAAAACCATATTCTGTACGGTTGCCAACAAATGTACATGGATTTTGTTATGTTGGATTTAAAACCGATAAAGAAATGGCAAAGGCAATGCTTAAGAATAAAAGTTTCATAAAAGGAAAACAAGTGTTTTTCTCAGATTTTACAGAGAAAAATAAAATAACCAAATCAAAATGTGAGAAAGGCGAGAAGACCACAGATCTCCACAAGTTAGAGTCTACAAATCCTAAATGGGCTCAACAGGAGCAAAGCGTACGCAATGAAGAAGGAATCGCTGAGTCTGGTCGTATTTTTTTCCGTAATCTAGCGTATACAGTGGCAGAAGATGAGCTCCAAAAGCTCTTTGAAAAATTCGGGCCCATTGCTGATATAAATTTGCCGGTGGATGCTGTAACGCGCCAAATAAAAGGTTTTGGTACAGTAACATTCGTTATGCCTGAACATGCGGTAAATGCGTTTAATAGTTTAGATGGAACAGATTTTCATGGGCGACTATTGCATCTTATACCAGGAAAAAATAGAGATGACGAACAAAGGGATGATGAAAATGACCCATCCTTGACTTTTAAGCAAAAGAAAGCGCTGAAACTAAAAAAAGCCTCACAACAAGCTGGTAGTTGGAACACTCTTTTTATGGGTGCGAATGCTGTGGCGGAAATATTAGCTAAACGTTTCGAAACGACCAAAGAGAAGGTAAAGTATAATACATATTTTTTTTTGTTTTTATACGTTTACGGAAGTGCTCTTTAAGTATTGATTTGCATAAATGCTATCCTAGTTTTTTATGCCGCATTGACTGTATGACTACATAGTAGTTCGAAAATTATCTCATGTAATGCGAATAGCTACATACATCCGATTTCGAAGCAAATGTAAAAGTGATTCGTTTTAAAATTTTAAGAGTAAAATATAGTTTTACACATTAAATTCTCAAAAGGTATTTAAGTGCTCATCACTGATCTTCTTACTAATATTCTTAAATTTCAAAATATAACCTTTGTAATATAATTAAAATATTTCGGCAGGTTTTAGACACCAGTGATGGTGGTTCAAGCGCTGCAGTTCGCATTGCTTTGGGAGAAACTCAAATCGTAATAGAAATGAAAAACTTTCTTGAAGAGAATGGAGTTCGTCTTAGTGTATTTGATTCCCCCATAGTAAAGCGTTCCAAAACCATTATTTTGGCAAAAAATTTACCTGCTGCTACAACAGTGGCCGATTTAACGCCAATATTCGCCAAGTTCGGACCTATAGGTCGGCTAATCTTACCTCCCAGTGGTGTCACTGCATTGATTGAGTACTGTGATCCATCAGAGGCAAAACAAGCTTTCAAAAAATTGGCATACAGCAAATTTAAAAATGTGCCATTATATTTGGAGTGGGCACCAGAGCAGACATTCACAACAACACTGAATGGAGAACCAATTATTCCCAAACAAGAAGAGATAAGCAATGCGTATAATGAAAAAACTACAAAGGAAACAGCGGAAAACATACCCAAAGCAGACGAAAATATGGATACAGCTCGAGAAGGCAACAATTCTCAAACTAAGGAGGATGATGATAATTTAGATAGTGAACCGCCAGAAGCAAACACAACACTCTTTCTTCGCAATCTAAATTTCAAAACCATTTCCGAAACAATAAAAAATCATTTCAAGCACTTAGGACCAATACACACTATAGAAATAGCGAAGAGAAAAGACCCCAAAAACCCACGCAACCAAGTCTCAATGGGATATGGGTTTATACAGTTCAAATTGACTGGAACCACCGAAAAAGCACTGAAAGAAATGCAATTTACACAGATCGATGGTAATCAAGTGGAATTGAAGCGCAGCGATCGAACATTGAAGTATATAAAAAAAATTTGACTTCTTATTGTCGTAATACTAAAACATTAATTTTCATTTGCATATTATAGGTCGCCCTCACTTGTACCCCGAAAGCATTCAGTGAAAACGCAGCAAACTGGCACAAAAATACTTGTACACAATATACCTTTCCAGGCGAAAGAGAAGGAAGTCCGCGAAATTTTCAAGTAAGAATTGATAAAAACTTACTTAGATAAAATTTGTTTAATAAAAATTTAATTTTTTTCATTCTTAGAGCATTTGGGGATCTTCGTTCTGTGCGTTTGCCGATAAAAATGACCCCAGGTGCAGATTCCCATAGAGGTTTCGGCTTTGTTGATTTTATTACAAAAAGTGACGCTAAAAAGGCTTTTGATGCTCTGAGCCAGAGCACCCATTTGTATGGGCGCCGGTTGGTGCTGGAATGGGCATCTGCAAATGACGAAGATGTAGACGAAATCCGCAAACGCACCGCAGCAGATTATTATGCCAGTGCAAGTGTAACCAAGCAAAGTAGAAAAGCGCTATTCAACGCTGCTGAGCATTTCCCAGAGGCTGACGAAGACGAAGGCGGAGAATAGATGGAAGTTTAATTAATATACTTTCATAGTTATGTTTAATAATAATAATAATATATTTTTTTTATATAACTGCACTACAAAATACATATGTTCATATGTAGATAAACTATAAAGTATGTAGATAAGCAAGAATAATTTTACATAAAGGTATAAAATAAATTAAATTGTTTTAGCCTACGTCATTTTGCTTTATTTGAATTAATATAATTTTTTCGTATCCTTTTTGAAGGGTCGATAAGTAACCATTATAAGGTAATCATAAACGTCCACCGACTATGTCATTGTAGTACATTTAACGCTTAAAAATATTGCAATTACAATTACGAAGATTGCTGGAAAAGTAGCTTTGTTGGAAAGCAGCTAATGTGGAGTTTTGCAAGAAAAGAAAAGTTAAGTCGAAAAGCATATGCATTCAAGCAAACTAATATGGCAACTTTTTTAACCGCCGTTATCTAACACAGTCGTCGCATCTATGTACATATGTCACCGGAACAACCCAGATTTATTTCTAGCCAATAATTTTTGAGGAATGTTTTATGCTGTTCAATATAGCAACATCGAACTATTTTCCACTAAACTCGTTTAAAAAATTAAATTTGAATTGCAAAATTACTGAAATTCAATTTCGTTAAAAGAATGCCGATACATACATACATATGTATATGATGTATATGTTACCGGCCAAACCCGAACTTAGGACAAACTAGTTTTTCCTAGGCTAAACTAGTTCTACCTAGATCCAATATATCCGTCCAATGTGGAAACAAGTTGGACGCAACAATATTTTGGACTGCATACCTGGAGCTGGACTGATGATGGGGGTTATTTTTTTGAAGTGCGGCCCAAAGCCGCCTACGCTGAAAGGTGGTCTGCGCAAAAATACCGTGGCCCCTTATCTAGTTTAGCCTAGGCAAAACTACTTTGTCCTAAGATCGGGTTTGGCCGGTAACATATACATATGTAAATACGTTAAAAACATATGCGGCGATTTAGCTACGCAACATATGCTCCTGTTGAAATAAAAGGTAAAGCGAACAACTTCAGTTTCTCTTAAATTACTGCACATAAACTGTTTTCGTACACATTTGTTTGCTATTTTCTGCAAGCAAAGTGAAATGCAACCGATTTAAAAAATGTCATAATCTTTAATATTTGTTGAGCAGCTAAGTGTAGATATATCTGTGTTTAAATATCATTTTAATATGTGTAGATTTTGTGGTATTGATGTTCTAAACGACAAAAATTACATTTTATCTATATTTTAATGAGCTTCAGTGATTGTTTAAGCCGTGCAAAGTCTATGGTGTAGAACTTGTAGATAAATATGGATATTATTTTGGAATTTGCAGCATTAGTTAAGTGCATTTTGAATTAACACATCCTATCTTTATTAATTTTTTTTTTTTTTTTATTTATGTATGTATGTAGTTGTATACGTATCGACTATAAAAATTATATTTTCGTCGCACTCTTACTTCACATTCCTTTCCGCATCCAAAATGTTTAATACACCTTGTACGTATCTAAGATATTATTTTAAACGCTACAAAATGTTAAATTTCATGCCCGTTTTTATTATTTCCTGTTTTTGTTTTTTTTTTGTATATCTTTCAACGCATCTGTTCCTACATCGCCATATTCAGTTTTTTCTTTAGTACAGCGAACTGTCGACATTTGCTTTGCATATGTATGTATGTACAAATACAATGGAAGCTACGTAGTTATAAGAATAATTTCTCTTACGCAGGTTATGCTCATGCATACAAAGGCGCTTGCTTGCTACAAAAATATATGCATTATACAATATTTCTGGTTTTCATATTTCATTAATTCCACTCGCTTATGATTGAAAATTTATTCCTTTTTTATGCGAGCCTGCAGGAAGCAATAGAGAATGCCAGCTTGTGCCATAACATCAACTGTACTGGAAGCGAGAAGGTCCTTTTGTTTGGCTTGCGTTTGACCAGGCCTTAGTAACGTCGGACCAAACACCATAGCTAAATTATGCAATGACATCTTATTGTCCGCTTCCTGATTATGCACCCTATAGGGAGAAGTAATTGTTTCAAATTTATACACATTACTGATTTTTCAATCTCAACCGGATGGAATTTAATACTATTTTATTTATTTCCTTGCACACACCTTATTAAGTGGTCCAAAATATGGGTTATGGATGCTTTATTAGCCTGTGGCAGTTCTTCAAATACTTTTGTGAGTTCGCTTATGCGCGCTGCTTCGTTATTGTTGCTAAAAGCGCTAAATGTTTCAAAGAATTTCGGATACAGCGCATCAGTGAACAATGCTTCGGGCAACTCTCGCAAATATGACTTCAAAATGCCCGTTACTGAGTGTATATCCACATCCTTTAGCAGTTGTTCAGCCTCGTAGGCATCTGGAGGAAATTCCGATTATAAATGTTTTTGCCAATATGTATTGGTAAAAGTTTGGAAAACAAATCACATACTTGTTTCAAAAGATTTCTTCAATTTTGCCAAATCGGAAGCCGATCCGCTCACCCGATAAATGCCCACTTCAGACATGCCACGTCTCTCTACCTCACGTATGCAGGCACTAATTATAAACGGAATGTCACGCTTCTCACGCCTATGTTGAAAGAAATTGCATGAAATAGAGAAACAAAACTAAGTGTGCTACCGGGAATTACACTTACTTTAAAACTTGACTCATTTTGGCACCAAAGAGCGCACCCGGTTTCGATGTTGGCACACGCCGTAACGTCACTTCGCCGGGAACAAACCGAAGCGTGGTGTTTAGCGTTATTGTTTCGCCAAGTTTCAGTACTCGTGGCATTGGAGTCTCCTGCAACCAACTTCGACTAAGCTGTAAAAAAAAAATATATATATATATATATATATATATTTAAGAAAAATTTCGCCAAGCAGCACAATTAGCTAGGCAGCATTGTATTACCTTCAGTACATGCTTAGCACGTAGTTTTGGGCGCTCATGTGCTTCATACAGTAGAATGCGTACATTCTGACTGCCCTCGAGTTCCAATACGAAACTCTCATTCCAAAGTGGACTCATGCTGCGGCATACCATCTTCGTCGTTGCCTTGCGAAAGTAATGACCATAAGAATCCACCTCAATGCAAATATACAAATCAGCAGGCTGATCAAGTCCTGTCAAACCCTGTACAGTCATATGTAGATCGCCGACCAATAAGCTTTCGTCGTTGGTGTTTCGCATTAGATAAGAGCCCATTTCGGTTTTCATACCCTTCTGCATGGCTACGATGAAGGCATGTACCTCCAACGCGTTTATCGTATTCGCGCCGGGTATATTACAAGTTTGCTGGAAACATGCACACATAAAAAATTAAAAATAGCACTAGTACTAGTAAAACTGTATTAGCAACAATATTTTAAACGATTAGCGCTAAACACATGAGTATTTAGATCACTTAGTTTAGAAATTAAAACTATATGACTTTATTTCATATAGATACATAATATGTAATAATATTATTCTGGTTTGATATGTAATAATACGATTTCTCTTCCAAGTCGGACAGAGAAAATTTGAGAAAACGGCATCTGGCATGCATACTTTTTTTTACTCACCTTCAAAGACATAATCGACTCATTCCATTGTGTGCGCTCGAAATCCGAACTTAAGAAGAACGTGATCGTCTTATTTGTAGCTCTGTTGCCAATGCGGAAGACTAAATTCGGTGAGGCCAAAACTAGCTGTGACTCCAAATCGGCCAATTTGCGACGATATTTATCTCCCGAACGCAAGCCATTGGACTTTCGTCCTTTCTCATCCTTCTCTTCAAGTAATAATTGATCGCGTACGGTGCACGCTTGTGTTTTCAATTGCAAGATATTTGCAGGACTAGATTCTTTAAGGTCAGCACTGGCGTCTGCTTCCTCATAGACGATGACATCCTTTAATGGTATAAACCATTTGAGTTCGTAGTCGATGCGATCTCTACCGGATGCCTTGTATTTGGCACAGGCGATAACATCATTGAATAGGAAGAGATGCCGCAGTTTGCGATGCCCATCCACTAATTCAACAATGAATGAGTTCTTAACCATACGCCTCAGATTCTTGTTCGATTCTGTGGGTAAGCGCTGATTAACTACATTGAACTGCTTCAAGAACAAATGTATGGTCTTGTGAGCCTGACGCAGCGGCTGATGATCTGGATGATTGGGTGGTGTCTCGCGCAACAAATCGTTGAATACTAAAGCATTGATTTGTACACGCGCCACCGGTTTATGTAGCAAATCCTCTAGCGTTAGTGATTGCTCGGTGTGCAAATTTATAACAATTGTGGATACAATTTGCTTAAATTGTGGATTATTTGCGCTGCACTTCTTTACGGTTTCAATGGCTTGGCCATAGTTATGTAAAAAAGCGCTATATAAATTGAAACTCTCGGCGAGACGTTTGAAGGGCTCACCGATTAGCACGTCTCCACCTTCGTGTGCAACAATCGTTTTTAAATTGCTTAGAAATTGTGTATGCACATCGTATAGTTCGTCGATTTTGAAGAAAATCGTATTTTCCTCATCTTCTTTGATCACAGGCTGTGATGTGCCGAGTGTCGAGTGTATGGCTCGTTTATACTGTTAGTAATAATTAAAAACATAAACAGTGAAAAATAGACAAATTTCAATCATAAATTTGCATAAAATTAGAAATCGTAGAGCGCAACATACCTGCAGCATTTTGTTGAGGCATTCCACATAAATGGCCTCACTTTGTATAATACTGCTCAAAATAGAACGTATTTTGGCGCCTCGTGCATTACCAGAGACCTAGAAAGTTTTGAAGTGTTATTCTTTTGTGTGTAACAAAGACAAAATTGTACAAATCTGTATATTTTATATTAATACAATAGATTGGTTCTTCAGTTGAATAGCTACGAAATATACATACATACATTTAGAATATTTTATTCAAGAATTTTACTGAGCTTGAGACCATTTCTAAAGGAAAAATGTTGTGGAAAAAACAACAATAACTTGCACTCTTCATCGAATCTGATGAGGAGATTTGTTTGATCTCCGAAATACCAGCTATAACATATACAACGTGTAATTTACGGTTGTTTTTCCACAACATTTTTCATTTAGAAACGGCCTCAAGCTCAATAAAATTGTTGAATATGATTGTTATAAGGCCATAAATAGCAAAAAAAAAAACATATAAATATTTTTTTTTCAAATATAGAATTTTGTTCGTCTTTTATATACATGTTTTTTTTTTGTGGAACAAAATCCTCGAAATTTACGATGTTGTCGAGGCATTTCCATTTCAAGCGAATGCCTCAAGTAGTTTTCCCTTTGAAAGGATGTAAGTTGTTCATCATCCAATAATAATTATGTATATCAAAATCTTCACACACATATTTGTCTTTTAGAAGGTTAATAAAAATAAGGTATGATTTCTTTTTGCATGTCTCGCGATTTATTAAATACCATTGTGCATTAGAAGTTGTTCAAGTGAAGATGGAGCTTAAGTATATATATATTTTAATGTGAATTATAAAAACTAAACACACAAAATACTCACTAGTATCGCTGAAACTAAATTCTGTTGGGGGAAAAATTTAAAGATAAAAATGATGAGTCCATCGTTAGTAAGTGTGAAGCTTAAATGGTTTTAATTTGTGAAAAATATTTTTAAAATTAGTTTGATATTTGCTCCATAAATTTATAGATCATATGCTGCTTCATAGTTTTAGGGATTCATCCATATTATTCAAGTTAGTGGGGGTAAAATTAGTTTTAGCTATGAAATTACTTTCGAAAGTTTTTATTAATATGCTACTTATGTGTGTACAGTGTCTATAGCGCCACATATGTTTACAAGAATTATATACATACATCAAAGGTTATAACAGCATTTGATAATTTTTGGAACAAATATATGTTATTGGTTATCTTTGGAACCCCAGCATGAAGTATGTATGTATGTGTAGACATAATTAAATGTAGGTGTATGTATTGAATATGAGCAAAGCAATACCTTTCGTAAAGCACTAGGAGTTTGGGTATTCGGCTCATCATGAGAAATTGTACGCATTATTGGCGGTCCCTCATACTCTCCATCACTGTCTAGAGAGCTAGAACGTGTTTCATTGCTTTGACTATGATAGAGAAAAATGCTTGATAGTTATTTTAAGTGAAAATTAAAATATTTCATACTTACTGCAGAAAGTAATCAATATTCACATAATTTGAGCTACGACCTGGAGACTCAGGATCTGTTACAGACGCCTGGCTACTAAGGTGTGTAGCAGAACCGATTGGAAGCGTACTGCCGGGCGTGGATAGATCATCCCGACTGGACGATGAGCCAGTGCCGCCCGGCTTTATATAAACATATTCGCCCTCGCCATTATCCAGTGGTACTGTGTCGTAATACGGTTCATTGTCCAGGTGTTGTGGGGCTTTTGCACAGTCAGAGCCCAAAGATGAAACAGATTCATAGCTTTTAATCTGCTCGAGAAAATAGAATTTGTTCATTTATTGCCAAATACAATATTTATCTACCTCACTTTAAAAACACTAGTATCTATTTTCAATCAGCTACAAAAATTTCAAAACCAAATATAATATTTTCTTTTACTCACGATTTCCGATATGCCTTGTGATGCTAGTGATTCCTTTGAGCCAACTATCTGGCTTTGGCCACTTTCGCTGTCAGCGGCTTGTAGTGAAGAACGAGATTTCTTTTCTAAGCTATTCGTCGATGAACTATCTGCTACAGCCAGCTTCGAAGGCTTATTCAAGCTGCCAGTGGGTGACGCGCCCACTGCGGCACCGCTGCCTCGAGGAGGGCCCGATACGTTACGACTTTGCGTGGAAATCGTTCGTCCCAAGCTACCAGTTGGACTCTGCGTTGTCGTAATTTCTGAGCGTTTGGTTTTCTCCAGACTCTCCGATTTACCAACTTTTCGTCCTAGTTCCTCCATCAAGTCAGGCGGATTGAATTTGCCCAGCTCTGGTGTAGTTTTCCGATTGGCCGCCAATGTTTTAGCTTCCAAAGACTCGGGTGACTTCTGTCGCAAAATATCAGAAGGTTTGATGTTACGTTCAAGCGAATTTCCTGGACTTTCCGATGAGGATAAATTGCCAGAGCCGCTAGGTAAAGGCATACTACTGCCAACAAATGGAGAGTCACGTTTCGGAGACGATGATAGTTGCCCTGGTATAGTAGGTGGTTCAACTCGGCGTATATTTTTGGGAGGAGGCCTTAATTAAAATTAGAGACACATTATTTTGACAAATAAAAAAAAAAACAAATAGTTCCTACCTTGGTGGCATCTTCTTTTTGGCGTCCGAATGTGCAGCGTACGTTGAAGCTGACATGGAAGGCGATGTTAATGCAGGGGACAAAGGCGGTGCTGTTGGCTCTACCTTGGTAGACGTTTTACGTTCGAAACTGCTTAGAGTTGTGGTGGTGGTGCCCTGCGCCGATTCACTTCCCTCCAATCCGTCATCTACCTCAGCATCCATATTTGACTTGCTTTCCTTAACCTCGATTACTGTAACAAAATGCGATGTTTTCTGCGTTGGCGGTTTTGTTGTTTTCTGTGTTGGTTCACCAGTCGGTGTTATGTCCAATTCTTTAATTTCTTCCAACGGAGAGTGGCGTACTGCCTCAGAATCGCCGCTAGCGGAATTACTGCCGAACGAAGCAGCCAACTCATTGATACACTGATGTAAGGCACCATTTTCGCTTTGTTGTCGACTATCCTTCTCGGTGCCTACATCTTTGTCTTCATGCTCGAAACTTTGCTTCCCGCAACCGTTCTTGGCGTTGCCGGCATTAGTAACATTAGCTCTGGTTATCTTGGAAGCGCCGCTACCGCTGACACTGTTTACATCGCTTCCGCCACTGGACTCCGCGTATTTGTTATCAGTATTAAGAGAGAGTCTATTGTTTTTATCTCTATTTTCATTGTTGGCTTCCCGTAAGTTTAAGCTAGATTTCTACAAGAAGTAATACAAACATACACATAAATATTTTTAATTAGCAATATTACCAAGCAGAAAAGTGCATATAGGGAAATTCTTTTCTTATGCAGACTAGCCGCTCACAGTGGTCCGGGCCTTCGCAAGGTAGAATTTTCTTGTTTAAATCTTTAAATTTAAAATAACTATCGAAATTTTATATAAAAAGTAGGGCTGTGCGATTAATTGATTACTCAAAATTTTAATTAATCATAAAGTAAATAACTCAATTATTCGATTAATTGGAAATTATGATTACTCAAAAGTTCAGTTACTCGAGTAATCAAGATTTTTGATTAACCAAAAACAAAAATACTTGAGTAATTTGCTTTATGATTAATCAACATTTCGAGTAAAATGAGTAAACAACATTTCAACTCTTTACATATGTATAAAGTAGTTAAAGCTCATTGATACTTTGAACACAACGTTTCTGTTTTCAAAAATTAAAACAAAAAAAAATTTGTTCATATACAGAATGTAAAAAAGAAAATAAGCATTTTCCAAAGCAAACTCTTTTAACGAGCAAAATTATTGTTTTTGAGTAATCATATTTCAAGTAACTCGATTAATCATCGTTTTGAGTAATCAAAATCTTGATTACTCGAGTAATTGATTAACCGAATAATTGATTAACCAACTTGCTCGAGTAATCGAATAATCGCACAGCCCTAATAAAAAGTACTCTTAAGATATTGTGTAGAACGTATATATATACATATGTATGTTATTAGACCCTTATAAGTGCACTTGATAGCCATTTTTTCCTACCCGCTGATCACGATCCCGGTATTTACGTGTCCTCGCCACAAATGGATCGAGGCTAGTTGAAGGCCAAATTTGGTTTATTCAACAGATATAATTTTCTTCACTGCGAATTCTGAAAGAGCGATAAAAAGGATTCAACCTCCTCTAGATATCCTCCAAACATTACTTCGACCAACGAGCAAAAACGTACATACATATGTTTATCGGTATAAAGCTTCCCGCACTTGTAGAAGCCGAGGTAAACAAATTACCACTCGTAGGTCCACTTTTTCAGTAGCAATTTAAACTTAGATAACTTAAGCTTCGTTTAACTTGCATAGCTGGCTGCCATTTGACTGGCTAATCTTAGTTTATACCAGCCAGCCCGAGCGTTTCAACTAATTTTGAGCCACAGCCGTGCACTGAAAAACTGGCCCTTTAAATATGAAATTTTACTAATATTTGACCTTGAACCAGACGTGTTGGAATCATGTGGATAACGGCACTCGGAAAATATAACGATCAACTAGACTTACAGAAGGTATAAGGTTCTATTTCATTTTGTGGTCCTGTGAAATTTGAATTTCGTTTACATTTTATAGGGACTAGTCCATCATTTCGTGAAAGGTTCGCCAATGCTCTACGCTATATGCCTGCATGCCAATCTTTACGAATAGACACATTAAATAAACAAAATAAAAATAGCCAAAACTGTACAAAATGTCACTTAACTTAATCAGCTGACCACAAGGGTATATGTACATATGTACGTATGGTATGTATGAATTTATCTATGCACACTATGTACGTATGCACATTACGGAAATGTATGTGAGTATATCCTATTTATATGCATGTGCATTTGCTAAAAAGATTCTTTAAAAAAATATAAATTGAAAAAATAAGTAACTAAAAGTCGTTTGTTAGCAAAGTTCGAGATCATTAAGAAAAAATATACATCTATCTATTTCCTTAAAGTTTTTACCTTTTTTTTTGCAAAAATATAGTTTATAGTATCTTTTTACAATATCCATTCACAATGTTTTAAGTGATAAATTTTTTTCATTAATTTTTATAAAAATATGGTAGTTTCTATTGCCGAATTTCCACTAGGCATTGAAATGACAAAAAATTTTGCCATTTAAACAAATGCCATGTGGAAAAGAACTTAATGACTTAATGAACAGAAAAATTGATTTTGGCACAATTTTTTTTTTTTTTTCTTTCAATAGCACAATACTCCAGTATTTATGTTATTGTTCAATAAATGACTATAAGTGACCATCGCATCAAGGTGCAGGGATGGTATTTTTAGGGATAGTAGCCAAGAGTTTTTGCTTTAATTTAAGCCTAAGGTGAAGGTTGTATCAGCTTTTGTTTTGTTGCTAGAGCTTCTGAAATATTACAAAAAAAAAGCGTTTTTCTCAAAATCTAGAGCTGAAGGAAACTTTATACTTACAGATTCGCAATCAACACAAAAAAGTCTATCAAAAACCGATTTTACATTTGCCGCACAAAAATCAGTATTGCCCTGTGCTATTATTATATTTTCCATCAAGATGAGAAAATTTTGTTTATGCAAACGAATGAGAGTCGTTGAATTCGCATGTAAATATAGTAGTTAAAGGAATATTTACATATGTATGTATGTATGGCAAAAAATATAGAAGTTTTTCTGTTTTTTAACTTTTTTTTAAATTGTATAAATAACTTAAAAATAAAAAACTTGGAAAAATGTGCTACTTCGGTAGCTAATTGCAATTCTTTCTGCTACAGTTTCTACGATGTATCAAAGAATGTAATAAGTATGTATATTTAAAATAAGCATGGCTCACCCTACTTTTATTTGGTGCATTTTAGTATTCGAAGCTACTACATATCAAACTATATCTAATTTCGGAAAAGCCGCATTTCAGCGAGATCTTAGAAACTGCCGAAATTGGGGAGGACTGCACTGTTTTTTAAATACAATATAATATGTGTTTATATTTTACTTAAATATTAAATTTTTAAATTTAAAAATCGTCCGACACTTAACAATAGCACCAGCTAAAGATCACTATTACAATATGTATGTATAAGCAAATAGTAGAGCTGCAAAACTATCGATGACACTATCGATGACACTATCGATGTTATCGATGTTTTTCATTTTTCGCCACTATCGATGCTTTTTGGGCACTATCGATAGTCCGACAGACATGTCATTCAGTATTTAATTAAACACTATTTCTCGTTTTCATTGATTTCTCTTATACATACAAGTTGAACTAATATTTTGTTTACTGCTTTTATAGAGGTACTAAAAAAATAATGAAAATCTTCGAAAAGGACGGAAAACTTGCACCTTTTAAAAGTCACTTACTCTGGTAAAAAGCTGACACAAATTAACTCGCACAAACGCTTTGTTGTTGTTCATCATTATTTGATACTAACTAAATAAAGACCACTACTTTTTAGATAAAAACATGGGATTTTTGTTTTAAAACTTTACTTTAATCTCTGAATGCCTTATGACAGGCGGATGTCTGTAAAACTGCAAACAAAATTTAATTCAAGAAAAGCCAAAGGTTTTTTTTCAATATCAAATTTTCAATAACTTTACTTCTAACTTAACTGTTAAACATTAAAAAGAAACGTGTGCACGTGTTTCAAACGTATCCAAACGTAATTTAAGAATGTATTTCTAAATAAATCTTAATATCAAAATTGGGCGAAAACCTTATACGATACTATCGTCGATATATCGATAGCTTTAAAAATAATATCGAATACTATCGATGGACTGAATGTCGATAGTTTGCAGCTCCGGCAAATAGCCTTCATTTTCTCCCACAAAATATGCCCAGTCTAATGTATCACATTGCCGTTATGAAAAGAAAAATTCAAATATTCAAGAAGTTTGAGCTTTGATTGTACCGATTAATCGATTTCGGTAAAATTGTAATATTGAACTTATTTAGTCAAGAGACACAGCTCAAAGTCAAGAGTTTGGCAATAACATAAATCTCAACACATAAGAGAAAGTGACTGAGTTTAGAATGGTGTGACGTTTTATTTAATGGGAAACGTTATTGTGATTCACTCAGCGTGTTTTCGAACGGGTGATTGTTTAATTGTGGCGGCTAAATAACCGCATAGACGATGAAATCGCCATGAACATTGCACAAATACAAGAAAAATATATCAGTACATATACATAAATATATACAAATATATGTACATATATGTACATATGCACTTAAATACCACGTTTGTATGTACATACGTATGTACGTTTCTGTACAATATGCAGATAACGAATCACAACTCTTTACTAACTTAGGAACTGAGCAAGCTATCGGAACGTACGATAATACAAATTTTTTCTCTTAATTTATCATCCTACTTGGCAAATAACAAAAGCAGTACATAATTATTTTGCTTTCCTATTGCTCCTTGAAAGAATCGATTTAAAGTTTACCCCTCTCGTCCACAGTCGAAACTTTTCCTTGAAGGATGACATTGCCGCAGCTGAAAAGTTAAATACACGTTTATTTTCGCCTTAAAGCTCGCCGTTGTTTTTGTGATATTTCTATTTTTACTTTTGTTAATGTTTTTAGGCAGCTTTTTTGTTGTTGTTTTTGGCGATATTAGGGAGTTGTCTTGGCACTTCACTCGGCGCACCGCACTACAATTCACCCACACGTAAAATACGCCCAGCACAAATGCAAGTTTTATTGCTCAGCACACCTCGCCGCCGCCCCGCAACACATGAAACTGCTAAGCCAAAAGTCACTGTTGTCGTTGCAATACGCGCTTTTACGTAATTTCTGGATTTCTCTCACTTCTTACTACGTCACGTTGTTTTTATATCGAATTCTTGTTTTTATATTTGTTTTTCCTTGTCGTCGGACTGACACGAATTGCAAATGCACCGCTCTAAACCTACACTAAAGTTTTCCCAATTACATAGATACGTTGAATGCGGGCGCTGAGCTGAGCACGGTGGAGCGAGCACACAATTTTCTTACGAAAATTCACCACTGCCTTTTATTTAATAATAGGAAACGCAAACGCCTGTGCCAGCAGTTACATATGTAGATAACACCAAAAGAAATTGCTACACGGTGTGAACTGGTGTTCTTTTGGAAAAGTTCTTTGTTTCGCAGAAGTTATTGCGCTCCGCGTCAGCCTTTCGCCTACTTTGCTGGCTATTGCGCTACTACCACCATCAACTTTTGCGTCGGGACAATCATTGTGGGCAGCGTCGGGTGGCTGATTTCTGGCGCTAGTAGGGTATTGAGTGTACATATATATGTATATGTATATGTAGTATATGTATATGTATATGTGTATTGCTGTTTACGCATCTACTGTGATAAGATAACAACAAACTTCTTTTGCCATTTTCATTTGCCTTTTTGCTCAAATCTTTTGCCGTTTTTTCTACCGAAAAATGTTGCCTTCTCAGTGCCACCTATGCACAAATACTTAGGAGAGGGCAATGAAAGGTACAACTCTTCGTAGAAAAGAAAATGACATTACTGCATTTGTTATTGCTATGTTTTCAATGCAATTGTTTTTATTGATTTCCACACACTCCATCACACACACTTTTCTCCTTCATAAAAAACTAAAGAATGCTGCATTTTTATTAGAGTTTGTGGTTGGTTACATTTCGTTCTGTCGGTCTGAGTAATTTCTGTTTCATTGCTATGAAGACTACGAGTACAAAAACCAAACCAAGTACACTGCCCTGATAAGACGACTTTTTGCAGAACGAGCCACTTACAGACTTTTGCTGCTTGCCCAGCTGTTCTTCCCTCAACAGGGGGAAATGTGTATGTATGTATGTACATACATATTTTAAGTCTCACTTATATATGTACATATGTACCTATGTATATAGTACATATGTATGTATTTCAAGTCGCCAATACCTCAATTCATCTGAATTCAAAATCTAGAAGTTCATAAAATATTATCATATCCGTTTAACTTTAACGTTCGAAAAGTAAAACCGACCGTTTAATTTGAAATTTGTTAGGAACTTGAAATCTGCAATTCATTATACTAGAATTAAATGAACTTCAATACTGGAATTCAAGACTTTTTCTAAAGATTCTGAAAAAAAGTTTAAAGTTTTAGTGAAAATTTGCAGAATATTTGTAATATTTGGACTCTTATAAAAAAATAATAAACATTAAATAAACAAAAGACAAATAGCCAAAATTGGTTAAAATATTTATTTATTTATTGCACTCATATTATTTTGTGGACAACTGTATGTACATATGAGTAGTCCACTAGGCCCTAGCTCATTTTCTTTCGCAATTCAGCTCTGTACTAAGTTCGGTAGATTACTCACTAAAAAGTTGTTGGTTTTTTAAATAATAATAAATAAATGAAATTGATGATTGGTTTTTATAAAGTCTATATAAGTTCTATATTGAAAAATTTCGGGGATGCTGTTTTGAAGCCCATTCAATTTTTGTATAATAAATTGCAAGTTTCAAGTCGCTAAAAATTGCCTTTGTGTTCCTTATTCCATATACATACATATGTAATGCATAAACAAAATTTATTTTTATTTTTAGGATTTTTTTTAAGAAAATGCGCAACACCCCCTATAAAAAAAAAAAAATGAAAAATCAACGATAATTTTTAGCGATGAAACTTGCACTTTATTTAATGCACTGCATATCTATGTATGTACTTGAAATTTTCTGTAAACTGTTGTTTAATTTTTGTGAACTTTGCGTAAGCTTTGATTAAGGTGGTTTCAATATGGTAAGGCATGCTCGAACTATCGAACGAATGAAAATTATAAAAAATAAATAAAATACATAAATATGTAAATAGCCACTTTCTGCTCTTAGCTAGTAGCGCTATCCCAGCAAACACTGTCTCTAACGTTAGAGAAATTTGGATTTCTAAGTTCAAATAATTCATTGTTATTTTATTGCAAATACATTTAATACAAATTTTACAAAAGAAACGTTTTATTTAATAAAGCAAAGAACTATGTTCCATTTTTGTTGAGATCGCTATGATTCTCGATAGTTTTTCGAATCGTTCTCTAATGTTTGAGATTGGAGAATGTGGCTAGTTCCCCAATTATTCTCTAATCGATAACTAACCTCAATGTTCGCTGGGATGTAGTACCTTATTTATGTACTACACTACATATAGCTCGTTGATCGCGATAGGCTAACAAGAGTTGCAAGTCGTCAATGCTCTGTACCTTCCTTACTTACATATGTCTAACTTGAATACTATAAACTTTACTACATAAAAATAAACATGTGATTTAATTTAGAAAAAGGAGGTGAAATATGCCTGTTTATAAGCTTACCAGCATAATATCAGCACTGGTATCTTTTCCATCATCAGAGTCGCCTTGTAATGCTGAGGTTGAAGTAGTTGCCGCTTCAAACAGAGATGTTGGATCCCCACCAGATTCGCGAAATTTTTCCACATCGGACAGTAGTCGCTCTAGGTATTCGACATAAAGTTGCTCTTGTTCTAATTCCTTTGTCAGTTCAATAATTTTCTGCTTATGTCGCTCCAAACTGGCACGAACATCTTGCTCCCAGGCATCAGAAAGAGAGCTTTGTGGAAAACGTTGCATCCACAGACGTTGGAAGTCATTAAACACACTCATTTTGCCAATCGCTTGATAGTCTTGTTATTTTTCTGCTGTTATTTTATTGTTATTAACTTTTCAGTGGTTTTATGTTGTATACACTATTTATGTACATATGTATACGAGATCACTCGCGCGTAACTTTCGTTTTTACATTTACAATGTCACTGGTCACTTTTGGCCCTGCATCTCTTGCTCGTCACTCTATGCATCATGCAACTATCGACAATAACGTTACTTATGTATTTTTGTTATAAACCCACAAATGTACATACTTATATACATTCATATTATGTAGTATGTAAGTATACATATGTACATACATTTCATAATATAGTAAATGGTAAACGCTATTATGGTTAAGACGGTATATGCATTTAATCGTGTGTATGCATGAATGCAAGCATCTAAAACAAGTATCCGAACGGCTCGGCTCTTGGTCCAAGGCCTCGAAAATTACAGCAACAATCCTGTTTTCACTTTTCCACTTCAATCAAATGTGACGCCCACTCATTGTCCAACAATTATGCGTTGTAAAAAATGGTAGACGGAACGTCACTGATGCTGTGCAACGCCCGTTGTCCACTATGGTGGCAGTGCAACATCCCATCAACCCTGTGCTGGCGGAAAGACCTTACCACACAGATATACAAATGTACTCACACTCTTGGTACTGCCGCCCCCGCATTGCACAAGTGAAACTGCATATAAACGAAACAGCCAATTGTCAAAATAAAAACAATTTCATTTTTAAGGTACTGCAATAAAATTTACAAATGTATGCACGGAGAAGTATTAGCATCCGTATGTAGACCGACCAAAATTCGATTTCCCTATAAATATGTATGTACATATGTATTTACCTGGTAATAAGCACTTTGCAAGGTACGGATTTTTCTACGTCACATTAACTCCCTACTGAATCCTTTTTGCTTTTATTTGGTGAGCTAATTATTATAGAACTCATATGTTTCTACACATTATTTTTGTCTTGTCTGGTTGTACATAGAAAAAATTGAGCCAGAAGAACGACTTTATCGAGATGCAAATTGCCAACCACGATGAACGGTTTCAGCCACCGAATGAACGAACGCTGCCTTTGCTTTGCGTTTCTTTTCGCCGACTTTTCTTGTGCACCTTTTTCACATTAATTTAGCGAATCACAAACTAATTTTTCACGTTTTATGCACATTTTCGTGTACTGTTTCACTTATTTTAATAATTTTTCAAATTATATTTGAAATTTTATTATTTCCAATGATCGATTATAAACCAAATAACAATAAAATGAAAAGCAAGACACTCCCGTAAAATACGCAACTGGATGCATTCGCTTCCGCAACTTTTATTTTGTTGTTTTATAATACAGAGTTGCATTGGATCCGAAATACGTTCGCAGGTGCAAATACCGGTTACAGA